ATATATTAAAGTTTAAATATTAGATATGTAACTAAGAATATTTGAGTGTAATATATATAAATCTTCTTAAGAACTAACAACCAATATGATCAATTTTTTGCCTTCATGATTGGATTCTATGTCAACCAATATGACATAGGGCCCGTTTGGGGCAGCTTATAAGTGCGGGCGGCGTTTTGAAAACGCCGCCCTACCGTTTGGTTCGCACTTTTTGGTAGATTATTTAAAACAGCGTTTTTTATTTCCTAAAAGACGCGGACCGCGGGCTGACCCCCGCGGTCCGCGGTTCGCGAATTTTTTTACCCCATTCCCCATTAGCCCCGTTCGAAGCCCGCTCGTTCGAAGCCAGATCGTCGAAGCCGCGACCTGATCTTCTTCTCCGCGACCTTGCCTCTCCCGATAGCATTTCTCCTTTTTCCTTCCTCTTCCGCGAGCACTTTCCCTGCAAGCCGTAACTGACCCGTCGCCCTCCCGTCGAAGCCGGAACCTCTCCTCGGGCTCTCGTCGAACGTGGATCTCGTCGTCTCGCACTCCTCGAAGTCGGATCTGCTACCCTAGCTCCCGTCGCAACCGGATCTTCCCCCTCTCGTTCTCCTCGAAGCCGGATCTTCTCCTCTAGCCGCCGTCGGAGCGAAATCTTGTACTCTCGCTACCGTCAAAGCAAGATCTTCTCGTCTCCCTACCGTCAAAGCCGGTTCTTCACCGTTCGAAGCCAGATCTACTCTGTCTGAAGCCAGATCTTGCGGATCTTCTCGCTCCCGTCAAAGGCCGTTCTCTCCGCAGCCAGTTCTTCCGGATTTTCTTCAACAAACCACAAGGTTGTCACAAAGCTTATTTACAATCTAAGTTTTTTATATTTTTTTGGTTATTTGTGCTTTAACTGTTTCTGTTTTTAAGTTGTGGTTTACTGTATTGATTTGATCTCCTTAATGAAGTTGCTACTGCTGCGTTAGTTTGGCCAAAAATGATTTTTTGTTGCTAGCTGCTGCCTTGGTCAATTATTTTTTGCAATTATCTATTGTTGTATTGAATTTTCTACAAAAATTAGCTCTAAATTTGTATTTTTTTTTTGGAAGATTTACAGACATGGCACTCAATTCTTTTCTCCATCTTAACCATCATTCTAGATTTGTATTTGATATATTTTATAGAACAAAGCTCGTGCGATTGAGTAGATCTATAATAACTGAGCTTATTAGTAACATGGTATACTTGTGTACAATTACAGTTGTTAGCTACATTAATTGATTCACTAGTTTGTGCGTTAATATTATTTAGTAAAATCATTTATATTGTGCTCACTGCTTGTCACTCTATTGTTAGCCATATCATATATTTTACACTTGGCCTACATTTCTAACTGTTGGATAGCTTTATTTGTAATATGCAATGCAAATTTGTGAGACTAGTTGGAAGAATTTTAAAAAATGTTTGAACTTCTAGTTGCACGCCTAATCCCCCCATGCACGCACACTCGCACAAACAAAACTTATCTTAGCAAGCCTAAACAATACATGGTAAATGGAAATAGATTTTAAAATCTTAAGCAGTTTTCACATTATGACTTGCTATTTATTGATGTGTCCTATTATAAGTTTCTCAATTTCCTGCAAGAAATAGATTTTGTTAAATGAAACCTTTATGAGAAATAAATATTATTTAGGAAGATTTACAAACGTATCACTCAATTTTTATATTGTGTATTTCACATTTTAAACGTTACAATAGCGGTATGAAACATTGTTCTTTTTGTTTTATTATTTTTATTGTCATGAAAAGAAATATTTTATGCCCATCCGTATATCTGACAGAACTCAATGAGTAAAGCTAGAGAGGCTGGAACATCGGCCATGTGGGATAGAGAAGTTACTATAATCTTTTGTGATTTATGTGTAAGGGAGGTTGAGGTGGGAAATAGACCCACTACATTTTTTAACAAAGAAGGGTGGCGAAATATTGAAGTTAAATTCAAAGAAATGACTGGAAGAGATTACGATCGCATGAAAATGAAGAACAAATGGGATCAGTTAAAGAAGGATTGGAAACTATGGAAAGAACTAAAACAGGGATCAACAGGAATGGGCTGGGATCCTGTTAAGCGCACAATAGATGCACCAGAGGAATGGTGGGCTGAAAAACTACAGGTCTATAATTTAATCTTTTTACTTTCTCTTTAATCTAATTTCGCATTGACCTGACACTACTTTATTAATGCACATTTGTTATTTATAACAGGCAGTGCCGTCAGCCAAAAAATTTAAATTTGTTGGCATTGATCCAGTAATGGAGGAAAAACTAGATAGAATGTTCACTGGGGTTGTCGCTACAGGCTCTCATGCGTTTACCCCAAATGATATAGGGTTGAGCAGCTCAGTTCAAGAGATGGATACCGTACAGATAGGTGATTCAGGAGACCGCCCTAGCCATGTGCACACAGATGTTCAATCCACAAGTGTGTCCAAGCGGCCCAGGGTAGAGAAGAAGAACAAAGGGGTTGCTTTTATTAAAGGGACTATCGATGCACTAGTTGAAACATGTAAAGCTCGGTCTTCTTCTTCGCAGGACAGCTCAATTGATGAGTGTCTTCAGGTCTTGAATACATACTCTGATGTTAAGGCAGACGATGATGACTACATTCAATACGTGAAGGTGTTGCGAGACCCAACCATCAGACAGTTTTTTATGAAGTTGGAACCGAAATATCGTGTGAAATACTTGCAATCTTTCATGGACGTCTGAATATTTGAGTTATTAATGCACTTTCTTTTCTAATCTTCTATGTTATGTTTATGTTAAGCACAATTTTTTAATCTCCGTTGTTTATGTTTTGGACAATTGACCTTTATATGTGATTGTTCTTTATGTGTGTCCAATTTTATTATGTATTGTTTTTATTTTGCCCAAAGTTCATGTGTTATATTTATCTTTCATAGCATACTTCTGTTTTCATTACTAAAGTTAATATATTTAATTTATAATTATTTTGTAGTTTGGATGAAGAAGATTTCCGCCA